ACATGTCATATTGTTTAATTATAAATTATTTCTATATTAAAAATACATAGCAAAACCTTAATTTCTATTTTTCAATCACTATTTCAAAAAATTACATAGAGGTATAGTTAAATTTTCTTTACTATTTATTGTATAAAGATTATTCTTTTACTTTTTGTTTTTCGTTTTGTGTTTATATTTGCTTACTCATCGAGTTCTTTTTTTTTTTCTTTTATATACCGATTGTTGTGCTCGTGGTTATATCTTACTGCACCATTATTTGCTATGGAGTCTGATCAATTGGCGAATGCAATTTAACTCAGCTTTTGTTTTTTATTTATTATTTTTAGTTGTTTTTTGAATTGTTTATTTTGTTTTTGTTTTTTTTTGTTTGCTTACGTCATTTCGATGTTTTTTACAGGACGACGTTTCTACTCAATTCAATAATATTTCTCCAAATTATTTGTTCGTTTCGCTGATTCGAGTTTTACTACAGTAAAAAGCTCTCACAAACAGTTACATCTAACTTTTTTACTACAGTAAAAAACTCTCACATAAAATCATATCTCAACTCGAATTCTAAACTCGAATCAACGAAACGAACGAGACCTAAATAGATACACAAATGAATTTACAATTTTTCAGGTGACAAAAAAAACCCCTCAAAATATGATTTTCTCTTTTTTTTTTTCAAAGAAAATCAGGATCAGAATTGTAGATTACAACATATTTTTTTTACTAATTTGTAGCATATAACAATCAGGTTTTTCCTTAAATTTCTTAAGGCATGGAGTATACATTAACAAATCTAAATTAAGTTTCAGTAACTGAATTTAATTAAGGTCGAAGTAAAATATACTCTTTTTTACCAGCAGATAAATATGTCCCCTGCCACACTTATAAAAAAAACAAAAAAACAGAAAAACAAAAAACAAAAAAGATGACGTGCCTGTTGGCAAGTATTTCACATTCCACATGTTTTATGACGAGCTGAAGACACTTTGGCCGAAATTAGTACACATTTTCCTTCTAATGAGGTAATTAGCAGCACCTTTGTTTGATGGACACATCGGTAGAATCCACGACTAATTCCGTGTGAACAAACAAATAAACAAACAAGAAACTTCTTGTCTGAGTTCATGTATTAAAAATGAGCGTTTCTTCAATACGCCAGTCTTAACGATAATATCAGTTTGTGATTATTAAATCACGTCAAAATCACGTCAAAATCTTATTATATTAAGAAAATATTGATATCTTGTGATCGATTAAGAATTGAAATGTTGGTATCTTTCAACTAATTAACCAAATTGGTGGGATTGAGTGGCAAAGCAACAAAATTCATCAGTGGGAATATAAAGGAAAAGTTACTTCGTGATTTTCTAATGTGTAACACCAATAATTAATGGACGTTTATTTCTTATATTCGTCCTTGATTCTGAATCATGATTCATGATTCTGAATCATGATTCTCTACAGTGTTTTTCTCTTACAAAAAATGCACGTAAAACAGGAATGATTCTGAATCATGATTACAAATACATAAACAAAACGTCCTCTAAGTTATTTCCGTTTTCAATATTTGAGTGTTACATATGTAGCTTGTTTGTAGTTTTATTTGTATGATATTGTTGTCGTTTGGTCTATCATCTGGTTGGTCCGCTTCCTTGGATGGATAAGACTAAGATAGATACAGACCTTAGACAATTTCTGGCCCCATTTGGGCCACCACGCACTTGCCAATAATTCACAACTTTTGCCACCCGCAATCTCCTCGTGTATATGCCGTTGAATTAAACTTCATTATTGCTGAAAATATATATAAGACCAAAAATGTTTGTTTTTGGGAATTATAGGTCGTGTTTAAAGTTAGATTTATTTTTATTTTTCACGTTTTTTGAGAAAAAAAAAATAAAAACGGGAGAAAAATAGCGTTTGACACAATTAAAGATAAAAAATAGAAATGAAAATGATTTTTTAATTTAGTATAAAATGAGAGAAATGAAAAACGACTTTTATTCGTTTTTCATTTTTTATTTATATTTTCTCTTCTCTCGAGCAGAGAGAGACATACATTAATAAATTTTTTTATACTGAAAATAATCTCGTGATAAAACTACCAAACGCATTTTTAAAAATGATTTTTGTCTGAGATTGAAAACATTTTCATTTTTATTTTAATACAAAAAATAAAATTATTTTAAAACGAGTTTTAAACGCGCACGTATATTTACGTGATGCGTGTTATAATTCTTTTGAGAAAAAAAGATAGGCTCCCATGTGATGAAGGATGGGAATTTCTAAGCGAAGTGATATCTGCGTTTCACATTGGGCACGTTTGTTCAAACTAGCTATCATTGTTGTTGTTGTTATATTGGAAATTCACAAACTTACTCCTTTTTTTCTCTGAAAACTTACACCTTATTGAATTGACATGTTATAAAATGCAAACCCTAGCGAATCTATTTACCAGCAAATATATATATATATATATATATATAAACTTTCTTTTCTTTACAAGACGTATATAAAGCTTTTTCATGGTAGAGTATTCTTAGCGTGTTTAATAACATTTGTTCGGATTAAAATCATATGAAAATAAAAAATAAAATAAAACTAACAAAATCTTAAAAAATCTAAAAGCTCATCAGTGTCAAACCAATATCTAATACTCTCTCAAAGAATTCTGACTATGTAGTCTTCCATTATTGCTGAAAATATATATAAGACCAAAAATGTTTGTTTTTGGGAATTATAGGTCGTGTTTAAAGTTAGATTTATTTTTATTTTTCACGTTTTTTGAGAAAAAAAAAATAAAAACGGGAGAAAAATAGCGTTTGACACAATTAAAGATAAAAAATAGAAATGAAAATGATTTTTTAATTTAGTATAAAATGAGAGAAATGAAAAACGACTTTTATTCGTTTTTCATTTTTTATTTATATTTTCTCTTCTCTCGAGCAGAGAGAGACATACATTAATAAATTTTTTTATACTGAAAATAATCTCGTGATAAAACTACCAAACGCATTTTTAAAAATGATTTTTGTCTGAGATTGAAAACATTTTCATTTTTATTTTAATACAAAAAATAAAATTATTTTAAAACGAGTTTTAAACGCGCACGTATATTTACGTGATGCGTGTTATAATTCTTTTGAGAAAAAAAGATAGGCTCCCATGTGATGAAGGATGGGAATTTCTAAGCGAAGTGATATCTGCGTTTCACATTGGGCACGTTTGTTCAAACTAGCTATCATTGTTGTTGTTGTTATATTGGAAATTCACAAACTTACTCCTTTTTTTCTCTGAAAACTTACACCTTATTGAATTGACATGTTATAAAATGCAAACCCTAGCGAATCTATTTACCAGCAAATATATATATATATATATATATATAAACTTTCTTTTCTTTACAAGACGTATATAAAGCTTTTTCATGGTAGAGTATTCTTAGCGTGTTTAATAACATTTGTTCGGATTAAAATCATATGAAAATAAAAAATAAAATAAAACTAACAAAATCTTAAAAAATCTAAAAGCTCATCAGTGTCAAACCAATATCTAATACTCTCTCAAAGAATTCTGACTATGTAGTCTTCAAAAGTTAAAACTTCCACACTTTGTTTTCTTGGGTGCAAGTTTGGTGATAAGAAAAAGGAACTATTAATATGAACCAATGAAAAATATCCCTAGCTAGAACAATAAAATTAGAATACTCTCCTATAATAGTTTTAGTAGATATTTGGTTCATAGATTCATAATCATTATTCAAAATATTCTCGATTTACATGTATTTTTTGTAAAAAAAAATACTGTAACAAATCACGAATCATGATTCAAATCATAATATGAATCTATCAACACATTAGAGATTTATTAATCATCCTCTCTATTTACTATCACGACTTCCTTTATTTTTGTCAAACTTAACGGAAAATGAGCACCTCTATACGACTTTTATCCAATATGTCTTCCGCCAATTAAGAAAAAACTTTTTGTTTCATTAGAAGTAAGAGGAAAAGAAATAAAGCATTTTTTTAAAAAAAATGAAGAAAGAAATAAACACGCTTAACGAGAAAAGTAGAGAAAAAAAAATATAAATAAGCAAATAATAATCCTTAACTCACATAACTCCCTTTGATTAATAAAGTCCGCTAAACAGCTACGATAAAAAACAACGCAGATTATACAATTAAACGGCGTCGTCTGTGTCGAACTATACAATGAAACTACTAATATCCTATTTGGCAATAATAATAAGGATTTTTATTGCATTTTTTCTCAAAATTTACCGTGATTTAATAAATTATCCTATAATTTTTTAATTTTAATAAGTTATTTTTTTAATTTATAAAGTTATTACAATATATCTCATTTTAAAGATGATTGTGTTAAATTAGTGTCAAAAAAATACGTTCAGTCATAAATTTTAACATTCTAATTCAAATGTAACACAAATTTTCAATATCTCAATTTTTAATCTTTTAAATTTAATAAAAATTTTAAACAAATTTAATTAAATGAGACACATTATAATAAATTTATAAATTTAGAAGACAACTTGTAAAAACTAAAAATATAAAGAATAATTTATTAAATCACAATAAATTCAGAAGACAATTATGCCAAAAACCCTAATAATAATAATTCTACATTTTCCATTGCTTTCTTAAAAAAAAAAATAATAACAATTTTCCGTTGCAAACGACGACACTCTCTGTGGCTTGCACGTGGCCTATAAGAAACAAGTTTAACGGTTGAAAGGTCCAACATGCGGAAATGACCAAAACAACCTCCTCCTTCAATGCCTCAACAGACGAGTAGGGTCACGCGGATTTAACGCCTTAACCGCCGGTGGGACCGAGTCTGGTGTGACGTTTCGGGTAATTAAACCATCAACCGAGGGTCAAACCGTCAATTCAAGTACAAAATGATTTAATAATCAATTTCCCCTCCCTTATTATACACTATATATAATATACTACATACGCCCCCTTAGACCAAGAAAACACCACAAGAAAAAAAGAGTATAATTTAGACCACTGTTGCCTTACCTACCGAGCTAAATAACTGTCGGCAAACCTCTGTTTAGACACAAAAACCCACACACAAAAAAAAAAAAAAAAAACTTTCTTTAGGTCGTTTTTTCTCTTGTACATTCTAAAGCCTCCTTGTTGTTGGTGGTGGCTCCGCCGCCAGATCACCGGAGACACACGCAACAATGCAGCACCGCCGCAGTGATTCTTCTGGGTTTGTACGGCCAGCTTGGTTTCGTTATGCCGTTTTGCTGGTTGTACACTGTCGTTTGGTGGTTGATGTGTCTGCTAAAGGCGCTCAACCCCAGCCGCAGCACACCCTGACGGACCTGCATTGGAAACCCGCCACCGCCACCTGGTACGGAAGCCCCGAAGGCGACGGCAGTGACGGTGCGGCCTCTCCCAAATTGACCTATTTACTCATAATAACGAGAATCATGGCAACTGCATTTGGTCAACTCTGTTTTGACCAATTTTAATTCCATTCATCTCTTGGTCCATTATTGTCTAAATATGGCAAACAAAGTCATTTTTTGTGTATTTTGTTACCATTTTTTGCCGCTTATTTGGTTGAGTTGGTTTTTTTGTTTTGTTTTTTTCGTTACCTACCTTATTTTACCTTCCCCTTGTAGTTTTAACGAAAACGACTCGAAATGTTCAAACCCATCTCAGCATTACAATTTTCTGCCACTTCGTGCCTGTCACCTAATCCGTCAGTTAACCATAGAAAGACCATGGGAATTATTTTATTTTTACCACATTCTCAAAAAGTAGCCTCTTTTTTACACTTGCAAACATATTTCTCAACTAAATTTTGACCAAATTTTTGTTCAAAAAGGTGAAAAAAATTAACTACTAATAGTGTGGTTTACTACAGGTGGGGCGTGCGGATACGGGTCGTTGGTGGACGTGAGGCCACTGAGGGCGAGAGTGGGGGCGGTGAGTCCAGTGCTGTTCAAGAACGGGGAAGGTTGTGGGGCGTGCTACAAGGTGAAGTGTCTGGACAACAACATCTGCTCGCGGAGGGCGGTGACCATCGTTGTGACGGACGAGTGCCCCGGCGGCTACTGCGCAAACGGCCGCACCCACTTCGACCTCAGTGGTGCAGCATTCGGGCGCATGGCTCTGGCCGGGGAGGGAGGACAGCTCAGGAACCGAGGAGAGCTTCCCGTTATTTACCGCCGGTATGTATGTGTAGATATATATGTTGTGTGAAAGCCCAAGGTTGTGTTTGTAGTCGGTTTTGTTTCTGTTTTTTACATTTTTGAGAAAGAAAAAATAAAAACAAAAAAAAATAACTTTTAACATAATTAAAGATAAAAAATAAAAAATAGAAATAAAAATAAAATTTTAATTTAGTATAAAATAAGAGAGAAATAAAAAATAATTTTTAGTCATTTTTTATTTTTTATTTCCGTTTTTTTTTTCTTTTGAGTAGAGAGAGTGAAAGAGACATTAATATATTTTTTTTATACTGAAAACAATCTCTTGATAAAACTACCAAACGTATTTTTTAAAATAATTTCTATCTAAAATTGAAAATGTTTTCATTTCTATTTTTATATAAAAAATAAAATTATTTTAAAATAAATTCTAAACACACCCTAAATTTTTACACCTCCTCAGCTTTTTCAATTAAAAATTTAAGTTAAAAAAAATGAATTTGAGTTATAAATCGAACCAACCAAAGTAAGGAGACTTAGAAAGTTCAGTTTCTATGGGTATAACATATGGTTGTGTCATGTGCTCCCTAATTTCTCTCTAATCTCCTTTAGCTGATCCATCCACTAATTTTTTATTTTTTTAATTTTTTTTAATTTGAGGAAGTCGATCTGTTTTGTTTGCTTTAACTGTCGCTTTTTTTTTTTTTTGGTCACATAATATCCAAATTTCTTTTCTTTTTCTTTGTTTCCCTTGTCTTCGTTCGCATATGTTTTTTTAGTTCATCAATAGACGAATTTATAATAGTTGAAATGACTAAATCACCCTTTTTCTTTCACGTACTTGAGAGTTCTTATTTGAGAACAAAATTTAAAAAATATTACTTAGAGTGTTTTTTGCTGATGATCAATTTAATAAATAAGTTGAAACAGTGATTTTTATGGTTTTAAGCTATTTTTAATATGACCCAATTCATTTCACCGATTTAAGTTTAGAATTTGAGTTTTGTTACAGTAAAAAGCTCTCAGAGACAGTCACATCTAACTTTTTTACTACAGTAAAAAGCTCTCACATAAAATCACATCTCAACTCAAATTAAAAACTCGAATCAGTGAACTGAACGAATCCTTTGCCGCTAAACTTTAAATAACTTGATTTTAGTTGGTCTATATACTATTTTGATTATGATGTGAATTTATTTTTAAAAAACAGACAATACACATTTGTTTTTGGAGTCAAGTTATTAAGAGCCAAAGCCCCTATCACGTACTTGAGGTTACATAAATGGTCATAATTTAACTTTTGATTCTTGATAGTATTGATGTTACTTAGAGTACTTGCATAGATCACAATATTCTAGTATTCAATTTTATGTTCCTTTCTCAAATTAGTGTGTTTTACATCATACTTGCATCATACTTACATCATACTAGATTTTGTATATCCGTATGCCAGTTATAGTAATGAAAGCAAGGGATTTGGTTCTTCTTGCTATGGTTATTATGTATGGATATAAATTAAGAAAAGACAGGCCAAAATTAGTGGGTCCATTTTGACACAAAAGATGTTTATTTCTCTTATCCTCTTTGTCTGCAGGACACCATGTAAATATCCTGGAAAGAACGTTGCCTTCCATGTCAATGAAGGCTCAACAAATTATTGGCTTTCTCTTCTGGTGGAGTTTGAGGATGGAGATGGAGACGTTGGGGCAATGCATATAAGAGAAGTACGTACCTATAAAATTTTTCCGCGTGAATTTACTTTATCAATGCTATCATCATTTTTTTTATTTATTCTCGGTATTTACTGACACGTAAACTTAATTAACATAATATATTATTACATAAATAAAAAATAAAATAATAGAATTCATGAATCAAAACAGTGATACTAGCGTTTCTTTTGATTAACTTTGTTTCTCTTTTTTGTTTTTTTTTTTGTTTTTTGAAAGTAAAGCTCCATTAAAATCATGATAGTGTGTAGTCATGCCGAATCAATAAAAGCTACGCATTAGAGTTGTTGGTGGGTTTCTCTTTCTTTTAAAAAGTATTCCCTAAACGTGACCAAAAGGCTATGGCCATTCCACACAAGTTCTTAGAGAGAAAGTACAGTAATCAATTACGATTTTTAACCCTTTGTGAACTCTCGTCACTTCCTAATATCCCGGACAATTACGATTTTTCTGTCTTTATGTAGAAAAAATATCTTTTATTTGGCCCAGTTTCTGATACATTGTTTTCCTACTTATTTTATCAACATGTGCAAATCTTAATGGAGCCAAAGTGCATCAATGACACTTATTTATTTATTTATTATTATTTTGCTTGCACTTTTTCCTCTTCCATTCACCTATATTCCCTTCACTTGGTGCATGTGACACACAGCCCCACACTCTTAAAAGGTCTCACTCCAAGCATGTCCAAAACTTTTATATTATTCTTTTCCTTTCCCAGATTTTCTTTTTCACCCATACTTTGTGATTCACCAATGTTTTTTTAATAATAAAAATCAGTAAGTCGACGTTTAGTTCATAGATTTAGAATTATAATTAAAAATTATTTTTAATTTACGTATATTTTTTTTATGAGAAAAAATACTATAATAAAATACGAATTATGATCCGAATCATGACACAAATTCATTAACTAAACGCACACTAAAATAACTTCTGTTTTATTTTATATTGGCAGGGAAGTTCTAACCATAGATTTTCTTTTTCACCCATACTTTGTGATTCACCAATGTTTTTTTTAATAATAAAAATCAGTAAGTAAACGTTCAGTTTATAAATTTAGAATCATAATTAAAAATTATTTTCAATTTACGTATATTTTTTTTATGAGAAAAAATACTGTAACGAACTACGAATCATGATCCGAATCATGATACAAATTCACAAACTAAACGCGCACTAAAATAACTTCTGTTTTATTTTATATTGGCAGGGAAGTTCTAACCAGTGGCTAGAAATGAGCCATTTATGGGGAGCAAATTGGTGCTTTAATGGGGGGCCCTTGAAAGGACCATTTTCAGTGAAGTTAAAGACACTTTCAACAGGAAGGACTCTCTCTGCCAGAGACGTTATTCCCAGCAATTGGTCTCCAAAAGGAACTTACACTTCTCGCTTCAACTTCTTCTCTTGAATTAAAATTCCCGACTTTCACAAAAAAGAAAGCCAACTCCTTTTTTCCCCCCATTTGTATGCCCTGAAAGGCTCTCCCTGGTTTGGTTTCCCACGACACCAAAAGTAGCCGTTGTCGGGTTGTTCTTCTTTTCTTTTTTTTTTTTTTTTTTTTTTTTTTTTTTTTTTTTTTTAGGGAAAAGTAGCCGTTGGAATGCACAACAAATAATAGCATAGCATCCGATGCTCTTCCCTTTTTCTTTTCTTTTTTTTTTTCTTTTTTTTTTGTTTGTTGTTAATCTTTTCTTGTGGGTTAGAGTGTGGAAACTGGTTTTTTTTTTGATAATTCAGTGTGGAAACTGGTTAGTAGATATGTAGCCCCTCTCCAAAGGAGAGAGAGCGTATGTTGTTGACTTTTTGTTTGCTTTGTAACTTGTAAGTTTGTGGGCCCTGTCTTTAATGAATGTGGACCGTTGATCCCAAGTATTTTAATTAACTCGGAGACAAGAACTGGATAATTGGGTCCGTTTTCTGCTCTATACTCAGTTCGCTTTAAAAAGTCGCACTTCAACATAATTTCTAAAAAATATATATTTATATATTTATACTTACCAGTTACCACAACGAATCAAAAGTTGCACTTTGAAGACAAGGAATCATTTTTTTTTCCCCCTTTTAAGCTATTAAAACAAATAATTTTAGCTAAAAGAAAGGATCTTAATAAATTTAAGATTTAATGTGGATGTTCATTAACCACATTCTACAGTATTTTTATGAGATTAAAGTCATACTTTATGGGATTATAATTTGTAATTAATTGAGATTATAATTAATTATAATTTAATAATTATAATTATTATGTAGATCTTTATATTATTATTTTGTAAAAAAACTTATAAATAGAGTCTTAAAAAAACATTGCATGATAATGTGTGAATTAAAAATATTATCTTTTTTCTTCTCTCAATTTTTTTTGTTCTTATTTTTATTTTTTCACTCCGTTTGCTTTATTTTATATTATGACAGGATCCAAAATATAATTTACGCCTCCAAATAAAATACAATAAAACTAATTCGTCGTCTGTGGGAACGAACCCACGAACATATGCTGAAAAGCCGTGCCGGCTGAGCTAAGATAGTCTCACATTTTTTGCGGTTCGTATTTCTATACATTAATAAGGGTTTATTTCATTTCACATATTTAAATTTTTAATTTGAGTTGAGATGTGATATTTTCTTAGAGTTTTTCATTGTAACAAAAAAAATTAGATGTGACATTTTCTGAGAATTTTTTACTGTAAAAACCTAAAACTAAAAACTCAAATTGGTGAAATGAACGATGCCTTAATTTATTAATTTGAGTTTTTAATTTAAGTTGAGATATAATTTTATATGAAAATTTTTTACTGTAACACAAAAATTAAATATAATTATTTTTGATATTTTTTTTACTGAAATAAACGGGATATAAATACCTTTATAATATTCTCCCATTTATCATCTTTTGCGACACAATTACTACATTCGTGGAAGTAAATAGGAGTTGGAACATACCAATATGAGAACGCTCAGTACTTTCTAATTTCTACGACGTGACAACACATATGCGATACATCATTACTGGATGATGAACTGCAATAAGTTAGTTTCGTTTATTTTATCAATTTTAATTTTTAATTATAGTTTTATTATAGTTAAAAATTCTCATAAAAAATTATATTTAATTTTTTTTATTACAGTGAAAAGTTATTATATAAAATCACATTTGAATTTGAATATGTGAACTGAACGAGACCTTAAACACTACATTTTTTTTAAGGCAAAACAGGGAAAGATATACCAAATCAACGCATTGTGAACATGCGATAAGGGGCATGTCAATTAACATTGGGGGATGATTAAGATGATGCTAATGAGTACTACCCACAACTTCGTCCGTACACTATTTTAAGCTAAACTCTTGGTCAAAAAATATGAAACGGATTAAAATAAAAAAAAATTCCTGGAACCAAAAGATGCAATAAGCCATGGTTAGGTGTCGGCAGGCATTTAGTGTTATAGGATAAGTGTAGTTGTCTGTGGTTGACAATTGACACGTAGAATCACAAAAAATACACATAAAATGAAAATAATTCTAAATTATAATTTTAAATTCATGAATTATAGGACATAAATACTAGTAGAATATTTATGAGAATGTGAGCTATGTATAATGTATCGTATCATCACCCACATGCAATGAGCTATAAAGCTTTTCACAACTAGTTTGGTTCCTCATGGGTGGGCGGTGACAAAAGGGTTATGATCTCCACCACGTGGAAGGGTCCCCTTAAGATCTTGGGCCTTGGCTGATGGGCACGTGACTTTCCGTTATCACATGGGATTTGCCACGTCATGATTCCCCAACGAGACAACAACAAATCTTCATAAATGTGAAGCTTCTAAGAGGGTTTTAGTTTCATAAATTATTCAGTGCACCACACCACGTCATGTTATTTACATGATACACTCGACTAATTATTAGTTTATATTTAGATGTTTTGTCTATAAAAACTCTTTGTAATCATTTTTCTTTCTTAGTGTATTCTACATTAATTGCTTACTCACAATTGTAATAAAATTCCCAACTTAATCTCTTATATAAATTGCAGTAAATAATATATTTATGAAACTAAAGTAATTAAATAGTACATTTTAATACTATTTAAAATAAATAACAGTTTACTACATAAATAATTTATTTTTAATTAATAAAAAGATTTTTTTTTACGTAAATTACTAAAAAGATTTTTTTTTTTCACGTAAATAAAGATTTTTTATCATGTAAATTATTTTTTATTAGTCGTAATGATATTTATACGGTAAACTGTTATTTATTTTAAATAACTTTAAAATATTCTCCCAATATTTTACTGCAGAATTGATAAATAACAATGTATCGGTTTTTTTTCCTTGGATATTAAGTTCCCTTCTAAAAAAGAAAATATTATGCTGCCCAGTAGATATTGGGTTGTTGTTGCTTAAGGCTTTCTTCTTTTATTTTTGGCTCAATCAATAAGTTTCATTCTTTTTTTTTCATGAATAGACTAAAGTGTGATAATGTGTGTATATATATATATATATATATATATTATTTTTAAGACTATTGGATAGACGAGTTCTATTTGTATAGACCAAGTGTGATAATATATATA